TATATATATATATATATATATGTGTGTGTGTGTGTGAAAATATATAGAAAATAGGAAAGAACTCGTTAGGTAAATAATCCAAAGTTCTTTAGTATTTTTGTTATTATTTTTAAAAAACAGTGCTCGATACAAAAGTAGAGCCTAAATATAATTATTTATTGAAAAATATGATTCCAACACGCTACATATGAGTTCTCATGTTTCAAAACAAGAGCCGAAAACTTCAATATGATTATTTGAGTTAAATTGAATTAAAGTACCAAGCTCTGTTCTATCTTCAAGCGAAATTCCAAAAACATTTCGCTTGAAATAATTATATTGAAGTTTTCGGCTCTTGTTTTGAACCATGAGAACTCTTATGTAGCGATGGAATCATATTTTTAAATAAATAATTATATATATATATATATATATATATATATATATATATATATATATATATATATATATATTCAATACGATTCTGTTATGTATTTCGTTTCAGAGAGGAAAAATGGAAAATCTAAATAAATATTGAGATTCTAGCATTCTGTCATTGAAGACATACGCAGAATTTGGTAAGAGGAAGGAAGCATAGAATTATCTAACCGTATTACCCAAAACTGCTCTAAGCGGTTTTTAAGGGAGGTGACAAGAAGCAGACGACCATTACTTATCGATTATGATGCTTTAAAAGTGCAATGTAGAGAAACACCGGATAAACAGCATTTTAAAAAAATCGAAATTACTAAGTTTTAAAATAGAGTTGGTCAGACAAACAGAAACAAAAGATAAAACAAAAAACAAAAACAAAAAAAAAAAAATTGTGACAAACGACCATCGTTTCAATCCTATCTTTTTTTTTCTCTCAAAATCAAACGACAATAAAAAGTTAATTTTTTATTTTTATTCGAAGGAGTTGCATAAAACTGAAATGGCGTTTTTCCTCTCTAGACATTAAAACAAAGTAAGACGAAAACTCGAAAATCTCTAGCCTAAACGAAACAATAAAAGGTGGCATGGCAGATAATGTATGGAGAGGTAATGGCTGGGCAGTGTATCAGTAAACTCATATACGTGGAACCACTTTAGAAAATGGGTAAAATGAAAGAAACAGCACATATGTTTTTGCAAGCATATTGCACAAAAACATAAACAATTATGAATTTTAATGTATGGCGTTGAATGTTAAGGAGAGTCGAAGACTTTGCTAATGGCCATACGGCGATCAGCAAAATTCGAATTCACAGTCAGTAATTTCTAAAAGCAATTTCACTGAATTTATTCTCGGGCAGATTCAGTTAATATTGTTAATAAGTTAATTGATGACAAATATATTACGGTTGGTGTGTAAGAAACGTTAGTCACGTTGTGGGTTCCTAGACAGGGAAATGATTTATCAGTTTAAATTTTTTTTTTTTGTACTTTTCAGACACAAATTCCTTGGTATGGTGGAAAAAGTTAAAGTTCACTAAATTTAGCTCCGGGTAGATTAAAAAATCGAAACTCATTACAACAGCAATGAGTTGAAAAAGATTGATTGGATCGGTATCCAAGCTCTACAGACATATTTGTCGCATTTTTTTTAACGGCAGAAATTCCAGAAAATTCCAGAAATTCGATTCCAGAAATTCGATTTGTAAAATTCGTAAAACCTTTCATTTCTTATACTAGAAGTATTTGTGTCTATATAAGTATGTATGCATATATGTATATATATATATGAACGATCCCAGCGTGCGGCATCTTTGGAAATTGGCTGAAAACCATACCACGGGTTTGATCCAAGGCTTGTAAGTGAAATTGGGTAGACGGAACACTTAGGGGACCGTCGATAGCTGTGCTAGCACGAAGTCACAAGTCATCGTGGCCGAGGGTTTGAGTGTGCTGGCCTTGTCAAGATTGTTGATCACGCTATATAACACGCTATTTCCAAGAAACTGTAACTAAAGTCTGCTCAGCATAGTTGCGGTATAAACCACAGGTGGGCTCTGTGGGTGTTGAACAAACACAATTGTGCCTGAGCGAGCGTCTGAATTAGGGATTGGCTAGCCTTCCTAGTACAAGGGTATCCTCGAATACGAGTGGTCAGCTATTATTTTTTATTTATGGGTTTACTTACTGGTATGAGGGTTTGGACATGTTTCAGTTTTTTGTGTATATATAGTGAGCTAGCCCAAATGACATGACTCACTTTATAGTCCACCAATAGAAGGCTAACCAATCAGAAGACGTAGAATATTCAATCCGTCGTGTATAAAGGCGGCCATTTTGTTTATTCTATCCGAATGTCCAGTGCCAGCTTGTCAGGCGAAGAGATAACAAAAGGAAGAACTACGCTCTGCTACTTTACCGGGATATCCACTGCTAACTTGAACTACGCTTCCCTACTGTCTTCGAAATATTCACTGCTAACCTCTGGATTCTATACTCAAAGACGACCGTCATCATGAACAACAGACCTGAACAGGAAAATCAAGCGTTCTCTCAAGCTACATTCCCTACATGGTTGAGAAGGAAAACTCACGGCCTCAAAACCTTACTGCCTGCAGTATAGTCCGTCAAAAAGCGCTATATTGGGTTTGTGGTGGTTGTTCTAGAGGGGTTAAACTCCGAGACTAATAAAACCTGATATCTGTGATTCAACCTTTTGTACAGATTCCGTGTTATCAGTAATTGCAAAAAGTATAGATGGCTCTGCACGCAACTTCACGATTATAATCAAATCCTCTTTGTGGGATTTCTAACAGCTTTCGTCATTTCAGCTTTGCACATTTACTGCTGACGCGTTTTGAAATCCTCACCGTATTTACTATTTTTAAAGTACCCGCTAATATTTTTTGTCGGGATTTACAAACTCTACGTTTCGTTCAATTTCGCAAACCAATCGAAGAAATTGGAATAAGCTGATTTGTTTTGAAAAATAGTTTGACAAAATCCCTACTTCATTGTGTAACAATTACGTTAATTTAATTTTATAGGTCTTCACGGTTAAGTTTTATTTTTAGAAAATTTATTTTTTTCTTTTTAACATCGAAGAATAAATTCTTAGGATTTCTTACTCTGGAGCGTGCAACATACAACTGACCATGCGTAAATATTTCTTTCTGAAGACAAATCCTGACATTTTGATGCGTTTGACTTTGTGATTTGTTATAGTTCTCACAAACGCAGGGCGAACTGGACATTAGATTGTTTTATATAAAAATTACAGAAAATGTATGCATAAAAATAAATTAAATAAGTATTTGCTATATTAATTATTAAATCTTTTTTTTAAATAGCGGAATTACTTTGCATGTTAAATAATAAAACTTTTAATTCCCCGCCACAAAAAATTAATGAAAATTTACTGTAATAAGCTACGCATCCCCGCAGTGAGAAACAGCTAAAATCATATCTCAAAGGCGATCGTTTATATAACCGCGTGTATTAAAAGAAAGAAACAAACAAAAAAACATTCATAGGATATCAACAAGGGTTTTGTAGGTATAAGGACACGTGCTTGAATGTCCGACAGGAATGACCCCAGGTCAATCCTAATGCGCCACTTAGCGTATTTGATAGTCCCGCTTGAATTGAGTGTCTATTCCGAGATAGATATTACACACATCCGGAGCAAAACAATTGGCAATAAATTCCAATCATAATTTTATTGGCAATTTTGGACTTTGGCAAAATCATAAATTATTCATTTGCATTATATATTTATTTGGGTTATTCTATCAGTAACGCTTGTTTTAATTCCAAACATTTGTCAATTCTTTTATTAAATTTCAGTGCAGAACATATAAATACCAACATTTCAGAGTTCAGTTAATATCTCAGAATTCAGTTATGAATAAATTCGAATTTTAAGTGCAAATATCACTCCCAGAATGACAGTTCTTCATATCCGTGTAAAAAAATAAATAAAAAAAAAATCATAGCGTGCACTTACAAAGTGTAGACGATTACAAATCCTTTTATCAAGGGGGAAACGTGCACTTTATTCCGTCGAAGAACGCGTCTAGAAGAAAATAGATAAGTACAAAGTTATTAAAGCTTTGAATTATTAATATTATAGTTGCCGTATTGGTGCATCTGCTAAACGTATTATGGAAATTCTGGTATCTGCTTAATTACTAGATAAAACAACGTGTCAACGTTTATGGCTTAGGTACAAAGGTGAGCTGAAACATACATAGGCTGACTTTGAAGGAGTGATGCTATAGCTGTGAAATTATGCATGAATTTATTTCATTCACCTCTTCTTATAAATAACTGCATTGTTTCTTCCTAGGTTGGTACCTAGGATTAAACAATGGACTGAAATATTCCTAGGCTGAATATGAAGGAATGATGATAGTGCTGTAAAATCTCGTATGCATTAATTTCATTCAACTCAATTAATAAGTGCATTGTGCTTCTAGAGCTGGGAAGACATGTACGCATTAGTTTCATTTAAATCTTATTAATAACTGCATTGTTTCTTCCTAGGTTCGTATCTAGGATTAAACAATGGGTTGAAATGTTTATAGGCTGACTATGAAGAAGTAATGCCAGAGCCGTGAAACCTTGCGCGCGCTAATTTAATTAATTAAATGAACTTATTTAAGCAAGTGCACGAGAATGTTTGTATTTTATTAAATCTAAATCCATAGAATTATTATTCACTCATTGAAGTCTTTTCTCTTGCATTTTCTAAGCCTATGCTATTTTTCAGCTAAATTGTGTATTCCATCATAAAAGAAACGATTCCTGTTTTGATTTGAAAACTTCTTCACATATTCGATATCATGAAATACTCTCTTGACAAAAAAAGCGTTTCATGGCGCGTAACAAGTGAGGGAGAGAGCGGAAGAAAATATGCTTACCTTTCAGAGAACGTCCCTTTACCGGACAGTTCATTTGTACTACGACCACATATATAGTTTATCCTAGTCCATCACATAGTGCGTGATTAGCGTTAGCTTACTTCCAATAGCGGGGTAGAAGGCGAAACGTTATGTTCTTATTTAATTCCAGTATTAACAAATCACGTTGAAACACCTGTTCTCATACGGTCACCGAAGTTAAGCAACGTTGAGCAGGCTCAGTACAGTACCTAGATAGGTGACCGCTTGGTAATATCAAGTGTTGTAAGCTTGGATGTGCGGGTGGTGTAATGGATAATAACTTGGAATTGTTAATCGGAGTCCCGAGTTTCAATTTCAGTTTGGTTTGTTATATTCACTTATGTGAAAATACTCTTGGGAAAGTTATGAATTCATCTATACACTCCCCAGCGATGGTTTAATTAATAATTAGCACTAAATAATTATTATCTTAAAAAGGAAATTTTTACAATCTAAAAATAATTACTAACTTTAAATAACCGCCAAATCATTAATAAGCAGCAGAAAACGAATAAAAAAGCTACATTAAGTTAGTGGGGAGGTCTCTGAAGCCTAGATGTCAGGTCAGGGCCAATAATATTGCAGATTTTCTTTGTATTTTATTCAGAATCTCTAAATACATAGCAGAAGCATGAATTTATTTCATTCACCTCTTCTTATAAATAACTGCATTGTTTCTTCCTAGGTTGGTACCTAGGATTAAACAATGGACTGAAATGTTCCTAGGCTGAATATGAAGGAATGATGATAGTGCTGTAAAATCTCGTATGTATTAATTTCATTCAATTCTTCTAATTAATAAGTGCATTATTAATTATTAAGTGCAGTGTTAAGGGCTTAACAAGGTGTAGCAGCAGTATTCAATACATCGACAATTGGTAAACATATATAAAAAAAATAATTTCTAATAATATTTTTTCTTTTTATCTTTCAAGTATTGAGGTCTCACGCGATTATTCAGTTTTTTTACATTCTTTGCCCCTCTCTCTAATTACTATTTATTTACGTTAACTCTTTGGATCAATTAAATTCTTCCTTTCTTTTCCCATCTATTCGCAGCCTTCCTCTCCTTTTTAGTCTCTAAGTGTAGCGTTCTTTTTCTCCTTCGCTATATTCAGTTTCTTTCTTTCCTTTACCCCTCTCTCTAATTGCTACTTATTTACATTACCTCTTTTCTCCTATGAATTTCCTCCTCTCTTTTCCTTTCTATTCATAAATCTTTTCACCTTGCTCTCCTTTTGAGCTTTCACGTATAGCACTCTTTTTCTCTTTCACTATATTCCTTTTTGTTTCCTTCCTTTGCCCCTCCCTCTAATTGCTACTCATTTACATTACCTCTTTTCTTCTATTAAATTCCTCCTCTCTTTTTCTCTCTATTAAATTTTTCACCTTCCTCTTCTTTTGAGCTTCCACGTGTAGCGTTCTTTTTCTATATATTCACTTTCTTTCCTACCTTTGCCCGTTCCTTTAGTTTCTACTTATTTCCATTACTTCTTTGCTTCTATTTTTCTTTGTTCGGACTGTTTTCCTCATCTTTATCGTCATATTCACGACGTTTCGGCTATTGTAACCCGCCGGCCATTTTCCGGACAACAGCCTGAACAATGTAAATAGTTACTATACGTCATCTTAGAAATATCGACTGATCTTTTTTTCTGTTTATTCTTCCTTTCTTTTACTTTCTTTTTCTACATCTTCCGAATCAAAATATTAAATAAATAAAATTTCGCAGAAAATATTTAAATTTCGGCTTTAAATGACCCAGAGAATTATTGTTATGCCGTTTCATAAATTAACCAATGCAAACAATGTATGAAACATATATTTACACTGAAAGTATAAGATTTTGTTCAAAATATCAGCAGCAGATGGCATGACATTTTTGGTTAAAAAAATATAAGGTTGAAGCTATAAAACTGTGTTCAAAATATATAAATTTGAAGCTATAAAACTGTTTTCAAACAATATAAAATGGAATCTATAAAACTGTGTTCAAAATATATAAATTGAAGCTATAAAACTGTGTTCAAAATATATAAAGTTGAAGCTATAAAACTTTGTTCAAAATATATAAATTTGAAGCTGTAAAACTGTGTTCAAAATATATAAATTTGAAGCTGTAAAACTGTGTTCAAAATATATAAATTTGAAGCTGTAAAACTGTGTTCAAAATATATAAATTTGAAGCTATAAAACTGTGTTCAAAATATATAAATTTGAAGCTATAAAACTGTGTTCAAAATATATAAATTTGAAGCTATAAAACTGTGTTCAAAATATATAAATTTGAAGCTATAAAACTGTGTTCAAAATATATAAATTTGAAGCTGTAAAACTGTGTTCAAAATATATATATTTGAAGCAATAAAACTGTGTTCAAAATATATAAATTTGAAGCTATAAAACTTTGTTCAAAATATATAAATTTGAAGCTGTAAAACTGTGTTCAAAATATATAAAGTTGAAGCTATAAAACTGTGTTCAAAATATATAAATTTGAAGCTATAAAACTGTGTTCAAAATATATAAATTTGAAGCTATAAAACTTTGTTCAAAATATATAAATTTGAAGCTGTAAAACTGTGTTCAAAATATATAAATTTGAAGCTGTAAAACTGTGTTCAAAATATATAAATTTGAAGCTGTAAAACTGTGTTCAAAATATATAAAGTTGAAGTTATAAAACTGTGTTCAAAATATTTAGATTTCTGCATTAAATAAGCCATAGAAGCTTTGATATGCCGCTTAACAAAGACGACCCTACCGGACATATTTCTTCACCACTAGATTGATATGCGCTGTCTGAAGAGGACAACAGACTAGTGGATTAAAATATTCTTTCGTAAACTTAGTTTTATATATATCGTGAGTTCAATCCCTGCACTGGGTAGTACAGGTTCAAACTCGCTGGAAATAATGACTGGGCAATAGTAAGTACTTTTATCTCGTCATAAACTCTCTGTCCTAACTTATATTCTGTGTATAAAATAGCCTGGCAAAGAATAACCCAGGACGTTACACCGGTGACCATTTTTTAATGAAATTCTTTATTCATCGCTATTATTTTGATCGTTCCAAGCGTTTCGGCCGTTTTACTCTACGTACTTCTTCTAGTGTCTGCCTTTGTGTTCGTTAACCTTCTTTTTCGAACAGAACACGTTATTCAACTTAATGAAAAGCATCGGATGCAGAGTGAGAACAATCTACTCCTGTGAATTGAATAAAGGATTCTATTCAAAATTCTGAGACGGTTAGCGGATATAAAGAGAGACATCTAAACCAGGCCAGACGTTAAAACCGTCGAAACGTTGCGAGTATTAAAATCAAGATGAACATGCTGGTCCGAATATCAAAGCTTATAATATATATTTAAATGTTGGCATAATTTAATTTGGAAGACATTTTCCTTTTATTTTTTTAAAAATTTTGCACCAGACAAGGCAATAAAGCCACTAAGACGTAAGAGATTACAGAGAGTGGAAGAAAAAAAGAAAGAAAAAACACTATTAAGCAGAGAGAATAATAAAAGAGCAAGAATTAAAAAGACAAGATAACGAATTAATTTTTTGATTATCAAATTTGACTGGGAAGCAAGAAGCAGGAAGAGAGTTCCACAAGTGAGATGTGCGATAGAAGAAACTTTTAGCATGGGACTTAGATTACACCAAGCAATTTCAAAAGTAAAATGATGAGACCAAACTGCCAATCTAGTAGTGAAATCACAATTAACTTAGTGGAAAGTGTTGACCATGTTAACTATAGTCTATGAATATAGAATACAGCGCAGTACGTAATCTGTTCAATAGAACAACGTTAAAGATTAACACGCACAAGTCAGACACTCTCGCCAATACCACCAGCAGCTGTTCCATAATTCTTCAGTCTTCGATATCAAAGGCTGGCAGTGATATTTAGCCACCTCCCCCCACAAGGGTTACATGTGGCACAAGGCCGGGATTAACGTGGGATTTCCGAGCCCGTAGGCTCGGCCAAAAATATTCCCTATTCGAACGCGTGTAAACGGGTTCAGGGGCAGTCAACCTCCCCGAACGAGACTCTGCCCTTCGGCGGAACCTCGTCCGTGTTATCAAAGGCTGGCAGTGATATTTAGTCACCCCCCCACACCAAACGAGGGTTACATGTGGCACAAGGTCGGGACCAATAACATCACTGATTTTTATTTGGATTTTCTCAAAAATGTCTGAATATACCGGGTGTAACAGCAAAATTGTCCAAATCGTGTAACAGCAAAATTGTCCAATTGTTAAATTAAGCTTTGAACCATTGTATCATAGAAATGATTAAAGATATCTTACTGGAATTCTCCGAGGTGTTTACAACACTATTGGACTATACTTTGAACAATGAGAATATATTTAGCACTTAGTTGAATGGCTGCTGTGACCTCCTGATCCCGTTTTCCTCTCTACTGTTCCTTCTATTTAAAACTTATTCCCTGTATTCTCGATGGTGCTTGAATGGATTTTGAAGATGGAAGCCATAGTACCAATGTTCGTACCATTACTGAGGGCCTAAATGATCTTTTTCTTCTCACCATTGCTCAGTTTGGGAGACATATTTGGACAGGCACAAAACGATTTTAACCATTTCACTTTTTAACTGAATAACTGAAAGCGTTTTTCAGTGATTCCTACAAGAAATGGTGTCAAGATGGCTAAACGTCTTATCTGAAAAACCGGAAAAAATAAACTCAATTAGTTTAGAGTTTTTTTTTTTTTTTAGATATTAAACATTTTATGGGATGGACAATTATCGCATGCTGTTACATGATTTGGATAATTTTGCTGTTACAGCCGGTATAGCAGCAGCACTAGACCAGTTGCGTGCTTCAAAACTCTTCCTAAATTGTATACTAAAAAAACTGAAAGATTATGCAAGCAACAATGAACTGCGTAAATTCAAAGCCATATCTACGAATTCCTTAATATTATGCGAGAAAATATCATTAGGGATATTTGTATGAAGCTAATATTTGAAGATCACAATAAAATATACACTCTTTTTTTTTTTTCTCCGGTGCTTTCGAAAGGCCATTATACATTATCTGAAGGAATCTTGTCTTTTGCATCGCAGATAATGTAGTGTATAATGCGGAAGTAAGGGTGTGTGTAGGGATTTACCTCCCTTTGTTTGCATGCTGGGAGATCAGATAACAGAAGCTTTGTTATTTGGTAGATGTAAGAAATCTAATCGATAAGAGTCAGGAAGTTCGATTTGCAATAGACAGTGAGGATTTTTTTTCTCTCAATTGAAAATACCAATTAGTACGGAAGAAAGTTAAATAAATACCAACCCCGACACGACAAAGGTACGCATGTATTATGCTTGTAAAATCTCTAATATACCGACTTTCACCAGCTCACACACATACATAAAACGCACAATCATCTTTTTACGCATATATATGTATATATCATTTATATATATTGTTATATGTTGAATCAAGAAACCACAACACGAACACAAGAGTAGAAATAACGAAGGTATATTACACGAAATAATAATACAAGATGTGGAAGGTGTTAGTATGACTGTCAGTCTGGTTTGGAGTGAACTACTATCGGCTCGACTCGATTCGGTATCTAGCCCCCCTCCCCCCACGAGGGTTGTGTGTGGCACAAGGCCGAGTTTAACGTGGGTTTCCCGAGCCCGTAGGCTCTTCCAAAAAAATGCCCGTAGAACCTGTATAAACGGGATCGGGTTGGTCAACCTCGCCGTTCGGCAGAGCCTCGTCCGGGTTCCTCTCTGCTCAGAGGCAGAGAGTTCGACCGTCAAGCCGAGAAGCTCGACTCGATTCGATATCTAGCCATCCCCCACGAGGGTTGCATGTGGCACAAGGCCGAGTTTTACGTGGGTTTCCCGAGACCGTAGGCTCGGCCAAAAAAAATGCCCGTAGAACCCGTATAAATGGGATCGGGTTGGTCAACCTCCCCGAACGAGACTCTGCCGTTCGGCAGAGCCTCGTCCAGGTTTCTCTCTGCTCAGAGGCAGAGAGTTCGACAGTCAAGCCGAGAAGCTCGGCTCGATTCGACCCTCTCTTTTGAGAGTGTTAGGAAGAGTTAATTCTGTAGTTATAGGTAAGGACCCATGACATATATATATATATACAGTGAGTTTTAAAAACAAAATTGATATAAATTGATGTAAATATCTGAGTAATTACATAGTCTAGGCAAATGAAACTAAACATGGTTATTATTTAACAAACTTGAATTCATTCATCAACGTTTAAAAAAAATTCAAAGCTATGAAGAATTGATGATTTCACAAGTATTCAGTATGCGCAGCGCTCAACCAAATTCTTTCGATACTGTTTGTTTGCGTAGATTTTTTGCCCTACACAGACAGCATTTCTTCTGTTCAAATCTGCATTGCAGTTTTTAGCAAATCCTCTCACGAATGTACACTGCAAAACTTTTTACATTGTTTGAGTATATTCTAACAGACAAATGCTTTTTCTTTAATAGTGAATGACATTTCTCTAGCTGAAAAAAATCCCCCCAGAAAACAGTAAACATAGAATTTTGCATTGTTTCTACACATGCTATTAAAATCTCAGATCATTCGAACGAGAATTGGTCAAATTATTAGATTACAAAATAATATCAATTTTTCTGTAACACCCTGCATAACATAGGTTTCCTCTGTGCCTGCTTATCTATCTATCTATCTATCTATCTATCTATCTATGTAATTCTTTTCATTATGTATGCATGTATGTATGTAAGTATATATCTATTTAATCTAATTCGTTTCATTATCTATCTATCTATCTATCTATCTATCTATCAAATTCTTTTCTTTATCTATCTATCTATCTATCTATCTATCTATCTATCTATCAAATCCTTTTCATTATCTATCTATCTATCTATCTATCTATGTAATTATTTTCATTATGTATGCATGTATGTATCTAAGTATATATCTATCTAATCTAATTCTTTTCCTTATCTATCTATCTATCTATCTATCTATCTATTATATCTATCTATCTATCTATCTATCTAATCTTTTTCATTATCTATCTATCTATCTATCTATCTATCTATCTATCTATCTATCTAATTCTGTTCATTATGTATGTATGTATGTATATATCTATCTATCTATATGAGAAAATTGAAACTCCTTAGTAAGGAAATGCGTCACGGGGATTTTTATTTATTTTTATTTTGTCCTTCACTTATCTTTTATTCCAACACACTTACCAAAATAAATATTTAGAAATCTTTTCGGAAACGTGTCAGATCGAGAACTTTTCAACATAACATGTATACATACAATGATACATACACATACTTATATGTGCGTGTGGGTGCATCATTCTTCTTAGTCAATAATATACTGTATTTTTTTATACAGTGAAAAAGACCAGATTTACTGTGAAACGGAGGTTTAGGGAAATGTTAATGTATACGTGGATAAACGCATGTATCGAATACTAATTGCGTTTGTGTGTGTGAGTATTTGTGTGTGTGTGTGTGTGTGTGTGAGAGAGAGAGAGAGAGAGAGAGAGAAACTCAGATACCGAGAAAAAGAAAATAGCGAAATTAAATACAAATAACATTATATATCCCACTCTGTCCTATCTATCTATCTATCTATCTATCTATCTATCTATCTATCTATCTATCTATCTATCTCAGTCTGTTCATATCTATCTATCTATCTATCTATCTATCTATCTATCTATCTATCTACTTGAGTAAGTTCATGCTCTCTCTGTCTCTTTATCTGTCTGTCTTAATTTCTTTCTCTCTCCTTCTATTTCCGTGTGTAATTATCTATCTATATCCATATTTAATTATCTAGCTGACAAGTTAGCTATCTTTATTTCAGGTTATTTTCACTAGATTACATTTTATCTATCTATCTATCTATCTATCTATCTATCTATCTATCTATCTGTCTGTGTGTCTGTCTATCTATCTATTCGTCTGTCTGTCTGTCTGTCTATCTATCTAGTTAAATTAGAAATTACTTATATTCTTAGAAAATTCGTAATACATAACAATATGAAGAACTTTAATTCACCGGTGTATTTATTATTTGTTATCTATCTATCTATCTATCTATCTATCTATCTATCTATCTATCTATCTATTGTTAACCAAAGAGGATAGTTCGACCATCTAAAAAATCATTGAAACTAACACATACATTCCACCGTGATGGGCGAAGACGTCCAGTTGAACAATTATGCAGATATTTTATGCAGATATTTTTACAAGACATAGTGATCATCAAAAGTAATGAGAAACGTTTGAAGAACATCAGGTCCGGAGGTCATCATCAGTTTCAAACACTTTTACATTTTTCTCCAATCCAATCTCGTATATATATATATATATATATATATATATATCGATGCATGTTTTATTATATAATATATACAGGTTTTGTCTATCTATTTTTCATATCGTTTGCGTAAAATAAATAGACAAAATTTGCCTATATTATTTAATGAAACATGCATCAACGAAAAAATGCTGCCTAAATACACACACACATATATATATATATATATATATATATATATATATATATATAATATTTTTATTATTTTTAATATCATAAAAAGATTTTGAAATTACTACACAAAAGCTTTCACGTTTCAATACTATGATTGTACTTCTTCAGGTAATGTTAAGTAACTGGTGATTAAATGATTTTTAAGGAAATTTAAAAACAATGTCTTACCTCTTTTCCGAAAATTAAAGTCTGATGGGTAACACAAGGTCAGAATTAAAAATAAACTTGTGGTTATGTCTAGATTGATTAATCATGATAGCATAATTTTCTCATATATATATATATATGTATATATATATATATATGTGTGTGTGTGTGTGTATGTGTTTGTGCGTCCGTGCGTGTGTGATTTAGCATGCGTGTGTATGAATATCTGAGTAGTTTTGCATCTGCGTGAATTTATTCGTTTGTTTAACGGCAAAACAACTGATTTAGGAGTCATTTAATGCCGAAATTTAATTTTCTCGTGAGCTTTTAGGTAATACCCATATGATATATGTTATTCTGCTTTCCCAGTTGAATACATGGTAGATGATACTTAGCTTTTGTGCATATACATGTTTGTATGAAAATAATCATTAGCGGCGGTGACATAGGTGTTTCAGGTTGCAGTTTTGTTGAAGTTATATTCTGTAATACAGTTTGATTTCTTTAAGAAATTGTAGAATATTATATGAGTTTATGGCGTAAAAGGGTTGAAAAGTTTTGTGGGCGACCAGGAACCTCTTCTCGCCGCTGTCAAACGGGGAAAATGGCGTGGTTTGAACGCATTACAAGGCACCAAAATCTGTGGAAGAACATCATCCAAGGCACCGTTGATGGTGGACGTAGGAGAGGACGCCAGCGCAAAAAAAAAAAAAAAACTTGGACGATGACGAGCAATGGAAAGATTTGACCGTACCAGAATTGCTGATGGCTGCCGTTGATAAACCGTTGTGGAAGAGATTCAATAGGGCTTCTGCATTCGGATCTCACGTTAGTTGTTTTTTCTTTAGCGGCATATGGATTATTTAATGCCGAAACCTAAATATCTTGAACACAATTTTATGGCTTCATCTAAATATGTTTGAACGCAATTGTATATCTTCAGCTATATCCTATCCATTTCATGTAATGTCAACCAGCTTGTTTTGAAGACCTCGAGTCCTAACAGGATCCTTCTGACCAGTATTCGATTTCATAGGTATCAGGCATACATTCAGATAAATTATGTATCTTGATTGTGCTGAATAGATCTGTATGGCCTGCAACTCTCCTGTGTACCCCGATATGTCTTTACAGTTCAAATGATGATCAGCGAACCTTGTTGCAAACAATGCAGGTATTGTCGACAGGACAATGAAGCAGACTGGCATAGTTAGCTTATTTCTGGTTGTTATGATGATCATTCAGACGCTTTGCATAACCTGCCCTCGACAATAGCATGCGCTCACACATATCACATATCCAAGGCTGCATATTAGTTGGCAAATCACTGTGAGAGCGTCTTTGTCGATCACGCTTGATCTGGGCAGCCCTGAAGCATTCATCCTTAAAGGCATTGAACCCCTTTCTTTATAAATGTCTTCATTCTGCACGATTTAAAACCTGTTCTTCCCAATGCTGCATTCAGATAATCCTTCAAATTATTTTAAAACCACTTTCTAGGCTTGTGTTGTGAACGATTTCCTGTCTTCAGTTCCCCGCAGAATTGTTGTTTGGTAATCCTGTTATCCCTCATTCTCACAAAGTGCCCTGTCTATTGTACCCGGTTGGAGATTCTTATTGTTTCAATATTGTTGTATTCAGATCTTTGGACGACAACAGTGTCTGGAATCAAATACTGCCATTTGATGTCAAGTATCTCAGGCATTTTTGGTGGAATCGCTCAAGTCATTTTACATACCTCCGACATGTTGTTCGTTATTCAGAATCGAGTTAAGATACAGGTCATATGCACATTTCTAGTCTTGATGGTAATGCCTCTATCTGATCAAACTCTTGCTTTACAATTTGCTAAATGCGACACTTGCCAAGAGAATGCCTGAAAAAGTCGCAGCATCTTTTGAAGTAGTACTTCCAAGGTATCGGCAAGTTCCAACAACCTCCTGTCTGCTAGTTTTAAAAAGTATTGTTGGCTCTTTGTAGGGCTGTTGTAGAGTGGTTTCACAGTGGAGGCTTGTATTTGTACTAAGTCGATCCTAAAATAGGTTCGACGTACAAAACGTTAGGGACTTGATATAATAGGTAATGACGCAGAGTAAATCTAGTTGTGGTGGCTCATACTTTTAGTATCCGACTAACGGTGGTCCGACATCGACTGACTGACCAACTCATTGACGACTGCTACTACTCCTACTTATTATAGGTGGGAGAGTCCATTAACAATAGAATAGGTGTGTTCCACTATAACAAGGACACACCAGGTGGGTGGGTGGAGATCACGTTTGTCTGCCACAAATTTATCCTCAGTCCAAAGAATCGCTAGTGGCAGACAAGCGATCTGTTAGGAATTGTAAATCTTTCTCAGAGCACGCTAAAAATGTCAGCACGCTCCAAATCTCGGATCAGTCTTTCAAAGTGTCTTGGATTTGGTATTGTACCTGCTGAAATTGAACACTAAGTTCTAAATATCGAAGAAACTCCTGCCTCACAGTACTCGATGGCATAAGTATAGAGCAAATTAGATTGAGAAAAGTGTTGGTGAATAAATGTCACCTTGTTTTACCACATTGTCCAAAAACAATATCATCTGATGTATGCATGTATATATGAATCTATGTATGTGTTGAGGGGTCCACCCCTTTTTATACAAATGGACTCACCCAGTGTATACTTATACGACTGTCAGTGAAGACCCGAGAGTCGAACAGAGTCGAGTCCAGAGTGACAGAGTAAAAGGTTGCAGGTAACTGGAAGAGTGAGGGTGAGATGACAGCGTTGTAGGAGTCACAGTGAGCGAGCACGTAGACTCAGTAAGAAGTCATACAGCGATACTTCAATACCAAAGATCGTATATATATTTTATTACTAACCCGTATTCCTGGAACTACTAACCTGCTTTACCAGTTTGTATTATTACGTTAATACATTATTTTCATATATTCATTCCTGGTGTTTGTTATTTATTGGTACCGGAATCCACAACAGTATGTATGTGTACTTTTGTCAGGCCATTCTCATGAGCTTCTACTGGTATCATTGTAAGCCAGTACTACCTGTTGCATGGTCGGGCAATCGGCGACTAAACCGGTTCCCCCACCAGGTCTACTTGGTGAGGAAGGTGGCTAGAAATCCTGTAGGACGAAAACAAGACCAGTCAAAGGGCGGATGAAACTCTTTGAGAGGTCAAACTCCAGATACTGTTGTTCTACAAAGGGTCAATTCACTCTCTGGGAAAGTACTTATACACAACCACAGATTGCGAATGACGGGACATTTTTACTGATCGGTATCATATAAATTTGCTAAATAATTCTAAACGTTTAAATTATTTACAAGTTTCTCAAAGTGGCCTCTTATTTATCAGACAAAAAAATTTATTTAGGAAACTCACAAAGCATATAAATAATTGGCATTAAATTACCTCCCTAAACACTCTGCTTTTGTTTTTTGGGAAAGTTGATTGTCTCATTTGTATACACTTTACGAATTAATGTAACCATCTGCATCAATTTTTAATCTAATGTCTGCGATCTGTTTCAGACAACTTCCTGTCATGACCTATTTTTTTTTTATTAAATGTTTCTTTTCCGCTTAGTTTGAAATTAACGTAGGTCATTTTCGATTGGTTGATCAAGGTAAAGCCCTCAAGCCTATATTTTTTCTAAAAAAAGAGGAGGTATTTTGCTTTTAAAATTAAATTAATCATTCACTCGCCAGTAATTTACCATCGCCTGAGGAGACGCATTGAAATACGTCGAAACACGACTACAATTGTGTAGCGATTTTTTACTTTTTTTTTCATTTAATATCCTAAAATAATAGTATTTTACTCTACTCTGTATTGAGCCCTCTTTTAAATTAAATATAATGAAAGTTGTAATTGTACAATTGTATCCTATTCGTTCACTTTCTTACCTGGACATATATATATATATATATATATATATATATATATATATATATATATATATATGGTGCATTTGGGGACACATTAAAGACCATAAGAAAAACAATCACGTTTTACAAACACGTAAATTAATTGATGGATAACGTGATACACAGATGTTGTAATTGTTGGATAACATGTTCCTTCAATGTAACGACGTTCAGCCACAATGGTGACTTCAATGTTAGATCGGAATTGTTGAAATGGATGTATCATCTGGTCTGCATTGATATTGTATAGTAATCGGTTAATGGCGGTTTTCAGGGAATCAGTTTTATTGTGAAAACGTTGATTAGTCTCCAGTTTTTTTAAGGAATAATGAGGTCAAGGCTCATTAACAAATACAGAAAACGAACAATAAGATATTAAAAGAACATAAGGAAAATTTATTCCTTAAAACTTTATTCCTTTTATTTGGTTGAGGAAGGTCACAAGTCCGGAAACACCTGTAGCAGAAATATGAAGAATAAGATATAATATATATATATATATACTAAAACA